AGAAGTTATTAGTCCGCAACGAAACGATATTTTACAATCTTTATTGTCATTCAATATAATCCTCGAAATGAATTATGTGAGCGAAATCTCCAGCGACAAACAGTTGTTATTAATTGCGACAGTTAATACAGATAATTTTCAATTACATTTACATAAGGTAACGACGCGCGATTAGCGATCTTTTCTACTTTCTGCCCGTTCGAGTCGCGAAAAACGACAGAGTGAATTGTAGCGCAAACGCCAAAGCCGCACAAATTTCTCTTTTCCCGAAAATGAAACAGATTACGCGATATGGACAGATAATTAAAAGCGCGGTGCGTAAACGAGATGTAATTTTAGACGAGTTAGTCTCGTGAAATCCACGTTGATAAAAGCCGTCGCTTGAACGTGCAAATCGAGAGATGAATGTTACTTATTACTAATAAATGTGTATAAATCAATAGCGTTTTATCTCCATATTAACCGCGATCGCGTCTTGGAAACCGATAACGCGAAAATAATACGACACACGGAGCGACTCTCGCTGCTGCCTGCCGGCTCGACGTTCGGCGAGCGAGTGATAAGTACGGAATTTACCATTTCGTAGGCGGGACAACGAATTCTCAACGTTTAATGTTTTTCTGTTGTTTTTCACTCGGCGCGGTGACGTACAATGTTTTTGCGTGCCATCGTGTATACCCGAAGGTCGCTTACTCGTTCGCCGAACGTCGAGCCGGCAAGCAGTGGCGCGAGTTGCTCCGTGCGTGTTATTACTTTTGCGTTATCGGTTTCCAAGACTCGATCGTGATAAATGTGTGGATAAAACGCTATTGATTTGTACACTTTTATCAGTAACAAGTAACGTTCCTCGGTTAACTATTATTATATATATTATATATAGAGAGAAAGTCGCTTCTTACGTGTCGTTACATTATGTAAATGTAATCGAAAATTATCTGAATTAACTGTTACAAATAGCAATTATTTATCGCTGGAGGTTTCGCTCACCTAATTCACTTCGCGGATTAGATTCAATGGCAATAAAGACTGTAAAATATCGTTTCGTCGCGAGCTAATAACTACATGCTTCTTTACCGCAGATGCTTGGATTCCGATGCACGCGTTGTGTTTTGTGTCGCTAATTTAAAAGCGATTTATCCACTACTTCTTCCGAATCAAAACTGCAAGTTAGTTTGAATGATTTGTATGACGGAAAGTCACGCGACACATAATATTTCGTGCGTTTCGCGGTATTTCACATCGCGTACGGGAGTGTCCGAAATTTCGCGCGATCGATGATTTTTGCGAGTGAGTGTTGTGTAAGTGCAACAAGAAAATCTGACTGAGAGGAGGAGCAGGCCTGGGGGCATCGGGCAACGGCGGAGAATTGGTGAGGTAAGTGTCTTACATTTTGATATTATTTGCTACTTGTGCAAAATGAAGAATCTGTTCTCTGTTTTTGTTTTATTTATTCAAATGATTCGAACGAGGATTCGAATAAGTGTTACAAAACGAAAGTATAAAATTTTGTGAGTTTATGTTTAAAAGGAAGACTTTTTGCAGTATTCTATAATTATTTTAATAAATACCTATTTTCAAAAATATTAAATGTAAAGTATATTTAACACAATAGTCTGGATTTTACATAATTAGTCTATAATAATCGTATACATTTTTGTATTGTTACAGTTTAACATGTATTGTTAGCGATGTACAACTTTGCTGTTGCAAACCGTATCAGTGAGTGACAAATTACTTTTTACTTTAAATTGACGTTGCGCATATCAATTACTTCTTCGCGTGTATACAAATTCTTAAAAATATACAATGCTTGACCACAAACTGCGCGCGCGAAGCGCGCGTTTTATCGTTTCTAGTACAATAAAATACGCTGTATTATTAAATTTCTAGTTCAGTAATTGGTTTAGTATAATTTGGTTATTGAGTAATTAAAAGTATAATAATAATAAATATAATTTATAGATAGCATATTTGGCAAAGTACGAATAATTTTAATGTAATAATAATAAATATAATTATATTTATTATTCGTACTTTGCCAAAGATGCTATCTAATCTTTTAAACTATGGAATTGTGCTCTCCTGCCTACTCGAATCTCTACACTGAAAAAAATTTCTGGTTGAATATGGACGAATCAGATAATTCCTTTAGGATTTACCAGAATTCCTTTAGGATTTACCAGAATTTCTGTAGGATTACAGGAATTCTGGTAAATCCTAAAGGAATTCTGGTAAATCCTAAAGGAATTATCTGATTCGTCCATATTCAACCAGAAATTTTTTTCAGTGTATCTACCGGGATTCCTAATACCTACCCGTATTTCGAGCTATAGTTCTACCTATCCGTTGTTTCAACATGATAAACTTACAAAGTTTTAATTAATTGCGACGGGATTTTTGGGGCCTAATTTGGAGTTTAAACACCCGCGATTTTGTAGAAATTCGATTTGGAGTATTAACACGCGCGTGGGATTTAATTGGGGTTTCAATCTCAAACATGTGCAAAAATATATAAAGAAGTACAGCCTACCCAAATTTTGACAAATACATAAAAGAAATCATTTTGTGCATCACTTTACTTACATGCTATATTCACTCTTATTACATTACAGTTACAATTTTATCTATCTTCTTATCGATTTATGTCCCCATTTCCCTGCCTATCCAAATCCCTACCTATGCGTATTCCGATGTATAGTTCTAGCCATTTTTCTATCTATCCGTGTTTCAACTTAATTAGGCCTAATAGTCTTTTATTAAGACCGCGGCGCGATTAATGAAAAAGTTCTTTTACTCACCGACCCGGTGCGCAGCAGCGGAGTTGAACTACGTCGAATCTGCAACATAGAATTATAAAATTCACATTAAAACAGAGCATGAAAAAATGAATATTAAGGAAAATAATTTTTAAATTATTGAAAATAAAAAAGAGAAAGATTAATTTTATACAAAATAAAAAATGTTTACCATAAAGTTGCTCCGCTGGCGCCCGATGCCTCCTAGGCCGCTGTCTCCTCTCAGACTCCTCCATTCCGCATTGGCACAACGCGACACTCGCGAAAGAGGAGCTAATTGTCCAAGTAACGCACGACACGGCACTCCCGACGTTAGTCGACGCGGACGTCACTGCAACGAGAACGAGAGACAATCGTGCGCGGAAACACGAGCCGAATCTGACGAGATGGCGTCGCGCGAAATGACGGGAGCGTTTTGGCGGGAAGGACTCGCGGAGATGCGCGAGGCTAAGGCTGATGGCAGAGAACAATCCGTAAACGCTTAAGACTGTCTCAGTCGTAGACGTAGGGCAAGGCAGAGAGAAACGTAAGTCGTATACAATAGCCTTTCACGACTTACGTTTCTCTCTGCCTTGCCCTACGTCTACGACTAAGCCAGTCTTAAGCGTTTACGGATCATTCTCTGCCACCAGCTAATCTTGACGCGCGTCGCGTTCAACGGGGCGATTTCGCGCGAACGTTTCTCTCGCCGCGCATCGCGCGTGGATAACTCGAACATTACTGCACGCGCGACGAGATACCGATTAAAATTGGAGAACTCGGTGTACCGTTGGCGCCCGAGACGCGTCGAAGCGACGCCGGCCGCGCGTGAGATTTCGATCGAGATTTCCCAGATTTACGCGTCGCGGAGAATTACCGACGCGCGAGGGTCGACTCGACGTCGCGCGGATTGTTAAACTGGACGATGGCAAACTCACCGCGATTGTGCGTACCGTGAAACGCGACGACCATCGTACGAGACCGAGCCGCTGCGTCGTGTCCACAGCACTCCTCGAATCCATCAACATGGCGCCGTGCGGCCACCGCGCGGCGCTGCTACGACGGTACTACGCGAGTCACGTCAACGACGCGATCAGACGCGATGTATCTCGAATAGCGAAACAGCAAAAGTTTCTCTCTCCCGAGGAACGAAAACGACGTCGCGAAAACGAAAATGATCGCGCACATCACCCCGCGGCGTACGTGCCGGCGGCACGAACGATATACTGCGAAGCGCGAACGTCCTCTGACCGCGCGGCGGTCACCGGTGGCGCGGCGGCTCGACGTAAACAAGTACCAAGCGGCGCGCGGGCTTGAAAAACATTTTTAAAAAATTTGACGAATAATGAGAGATACGCCGTACCTGCTCCGTTAATTTTCACGGATAAACGGCTATCATTCTTCGTCGGTAACGGTTGGTCGCTGTGATCGCTTTGAAAAGTCTTTATTTCGATTATTTAAACGGCACTCCTGAGCGCGACGAAAATGGAAACGTTATATGTTATTCGCGCAATTTTATACGTAATAATGTTAGAGAGATAATTTCTTGGCAAATGATCGATTTGTTGTAATTTTTTGTTATCAGTTTGCTTTTTTAAACGACGCTCGTATTCGGACACATCTCGTATCATCGCATTAAATCTCTCGTCGCTTCGAGTATAATTTGGCGGCTGTTTCTAGGTTGAAAACGCGAAATAATACACAAAATATTGAATCGAGTGCTTTAATTAGCACGTATCGGTGATTAATAATATCTATTAATAATACTAGTTCATAGATTTTTTATAAATAAAACTAAAGGTGCGACATTGAATTTGTAATGATTTTTCATTTGTACACTAATAAAAAATGTTACGCAATAGCCACAGCTTCGTGTGTAGCGTTGCGTAACATTTTTTCATTAATGTTTTACAACGTAAGAGTCATGTATTGTTGTATGCGTATTAAATGTTTAAAAAAAATTAATGACAAAAACGTTAAAACACAATTATTGCAAAGAAAAGAGGAGAAGAATTCGGCGGGGGTGGTGGCGGGCTTCAACAAGTTGGTCTGTTGGCTCGCGTAACGAAAACTCAATAACTGCCATGTGTTTTTATCGACATTTCATGCACACAGCACGGAACACAACCAAAGCGTCTGCATCCGAGTTATCCGCCCAAACGTGGCCATTGGCTACGTAGTTCATGTCCGTGTTTTCAATGTCCACAGAGAGCGTATCGCGTTCGAGGATCACATCTCTGACAGCTCTCAGAGAGTGTGAAGACGGAGAGTTGCGAGTGTGTGACGTGTGTGATATGGGAACTGTGGTGCCTGTGTATGCACGTCAGTGATACTACACATAATATTACATTATGTTGGAGAAACCGTCCAGCGCGGATAACCAGTTATCCAAAGAAGATTATTTAATAATGAGAGCTAAGCAGGCGATGTCGGTCGACATTTACGCCGCTAAATCCTGGCTGATCACCGCGAAATCTCTGTTTCCTCATAGCGCCAAAGTTCAGGTTAGTACCGGCTCGTCACTACACATGCACATTGATCGTTGCTTCTGTGTTTCATATATTTATTTTATAGTTTTCTTCTTTACTTCTTTTTCTTCACGCGGGGCAATCTATTTCGAACAGCATCGTCTCGTAATTTTCAGTAATTGGATTTGAATTTAGGCGTGTCTGTAGTGATCACATGGGTAGCGACATTTAGTCTCTTTTTCGCTTTCAGTTTGAGGCGTATCGTATCGAGAAGCTGTCGAAAAATGTGAAGGAGGCGGCCAAGTGCTTCAGCGAGATGTGAGTATCTATCACCATTGAAATGTATACATTATCTTCCTCTAATCCTTCCCTGAACGCAAGCACAGATTCGAAAATTTTCCGGACGATCGCGAAATATGGAAAGAGATAGAGACGGTAACAACGTGTCTTCGCTTGGAACAGTGCGACAGCGAGGCCGAATTCCTGTGCCAGATGTTTCAACATATCCCGCAGGAATTGCAGCACAGGTTGCTCGTGATGACGGCGGATCACAGCGAGGACACGATGGAGCATTGCAAATTGTTGCTGCTGCTGCTGCGCAAGTTTCCTCTGACCGTAGCGACTCACGGAGTGCGTATCTTGGAATACGAAGCGAGGACGCTCGATTCTTAGACGATATTTATTCGCGTTTATGCTTCAGCCACGTTTGGTGGAGACCCTGTTAACCGCGGAGAAACACAGTCATCCAGGCCGAGCCGTGAATGGTTTCAGAAGATTGTTGGCGTGCGACGCGCTGCCGTTGCTCGGCGGTGCCGTAGTAGAATTGAACCCTCGTCTCAGCTTACGACTGTTATGTAAGGCGGTGGAATTTTATTTAGCGTACATACAACAGCCGCAGGACACGCAAATTCCAAACCCGTGGGACAGGCTGTTCCAAATCGTGGAGCTGATGGGCAAGAAATTGGGATGGGAGTTGGGCAGTTTATTCGCTACGCCTTGGAACCGTGAAACGTACAGCGATAGACTGCAACAGTACGCGATTGCGCATAGCACTGGTCTGTGCGACGAGCCCGTTGTCAGGCAATTATTGATGTGTACAATTGTAGTATTATTAAGAATACTAAACGAGCATAACACTCTCATTGCTAACGAAGAGACCACGTATTGCCTCGTAGAGGCTTTTGGAGACTGCGTATATTCCGCCGGTGAGATTCTACGTTTGTGATTATTGGAATAAGCTAAATTTTATACTTGTACCTTTGAATTCCGTGAACCAGAGCCCAAGTTGAAAAAGCGGAAGCGAGATGATAACGCCGTCACGATAATAACTAGCGACAGTGATTACAATGGCAGTGGCCTAGCATTGGCGGTGAAGCTGTGGGATTTGCTACACAGCAATGACTATCTTCAGAGAGAAATAACCAAACTGAATCAACAATTGCGGCTAGATAATTGGCTGAATCTCTTCTTAACGGACTTAGCAATGTATAAAGGTTTATATCACGAAGTGTTGACCAGATTAACAGAGGGAAATAATTTATCCTCTAATCTTCGTTCGGCCAGTACATGCTTCTTTTTGAAAGATTACAAGGTGCGCTGCGACTCGAATGTTTATCTCATTGAGTCATTTATGTAGAGTATCCCCATATTGTCGATCTCTCGCTTTCCTAATCTACTAAATAATCTTTCTTCCAGGGCATGCTGGAATATATTGTTTTGGTAGTAAACTCGTTGCCCACTGCGTCAGGCAAAGTATCTCACAATCTGACAGCCCCAAGCACGAGGCATTTACATTACTTGACTCTCGCCCGTTTTCCTATTTTACAATACTGTTGCAGATTGCTTCTTTTAGCGCTAAAGGTAATCATTCTTTCTTTTTGCAGTGATCTTTTAATATTGTCGAATATATGATTGATTTGACTTTAGAAAAACTTCTCTTTACCTGGGAGTATTCGGGACCTGGCTATTGGTAACGCATTGGTCCTTATGCAGATAGATTGGCCACAAGAAGCTAGTATTTTAACTACAATAACTGAACGAATTCTCAATCGTGGAAGCTTCACTTATCCATTATTCCAAGATTACTTAATATGTGTAGATATTTTAGAAGAATTAACGTATTTATGGACTGAACATGGCGGAGGAGTATTACTGGACCTAACGGCAGCAGCGGGGATTATACAAAGTACATGCAGTAACTTTCTCTTAATATATACTATATTGCAGAAATGAAAAAAATTATTCGAGAATTATTCTAGGCCGCCGCATCACAACTCGCGGTGCTGATAAAGGAGTACGCGAGGAATTGAAGCAAGCCATGCGTCGACAAGCCGCACGGGACGGTATCGAACCTTTAGATGAACTGTTGCAAAAGTTTATTATCAACGAACAAGACGTTATTCTGCATAGCTTATTCATCCAATGTCCAATTAGTTCATCCAAATCAAATTAGTTTTGAGTCTCACCATTTGTAGCGTGTCATAACTTGTACAATATTTTTACATCGAATCTTTCGAAACAATTCCTAACACATGCAATCCAATCCATAATAATTATGTGACACTTGGTAAATTATTTATGAAGATTTTATAAAGTATAATATACAAAAGTTTAGAAAACAATTAAAGAACATGCTTCTTTATTGCCAAACCGATATATGTAAATTTTACATGTTTTATACATGCATTGAACACAAAGTGAAGCCCAACATTTTAAGACTTGTGGAAAACAAGTGTGCAATTTTCTTACATAATAGATTTTAATATTATAATCATATATACATATAATTACAACAAGGTGTTCTTAATCTTGCCTTCAAATCTTTTCTATGGACGTTTTATTTTCTTACATGTATACATCTTTAACAATAGCCGTAATAACTAACAAAATAATATAAAATTATGATAATCGATAAAATATTATTTTCAAAACAGGATTTATAAAATTTAATTGACAATCAATGCGTAATTGATTATGAACATAGTTACATGCTACATTATTGATTACTCACTATCGAGATTAATATACAAAGTTAATGTAACAAATAATCCTCTTGTTAAGGCTGTTTAGAATTATAAAAATTCACGATGAATATATAAACAAGTTAGATTTTTGGGCATTTTATCTGATGTAAACGCTCAATTGAAGGGCACTTAGAAGTAATACTTTAATTCCAGGCATGAAGGAAGCTATTTGACTAAAATCTGGTCCTGACACTAATTGCGTATGTAAGTCTAGTCCACCTGTGTAATTGCCATTTTGAATCATCTGTGATATCTGATGTAAACTTTGTAGAGTATTCTGAGACAACTGGAAAGAAGACAATTCGTTTCAGATTCACATAATACACAATAATATTATAACTGACTCACCTTATTCTCTCTAAGGCAATCGTATAGCACTTCCAATTTCTTTGACACATCTTCTATCTTCCTTTTGATTTGCTAGAAAGATAATACGAATACAACTGTCTTTTATCAAACAGTAAAAAAGGAGCAAATAATATGTATACGTGGATATTGTTACATATATATTGTTATAATCAGGTATTTACCGGATTCTTCGCATTCTCATAGCACTGATTTTTTAATTCATCTAATATTGTTTTTAAATGCATATGTTGCTCGGGTATAGGTGCTTTCGGTTTCTCAGGTTCCGCCACCCTCGCGGGCATTACAGGCTGTAACGGTTCAACTGGTTTGTTAAGTGGTGCCGTATTCGGCACGCCTTGCCTGAATTGCGGATTATAAAGTGCGGGAGACTCCTGATAGAAATTGTCCTGCGGTAATGGCTGAAAGAAAATATTAAGGTATACATTATATAAATGCGTGCACATGAATACGTATGCAGAAATCACGAAGCTTACACTCTGTTCCGGTTGATTAGTTTGCAATGGATGCATTATTGGATTGTGTAGCTGATAGTCCGTCTTCGACTGGAAAAATATAAACAATTCATTCTTAGCAATGTATTCTTACTACAAGCTCTCTTCAGCCACTTTACAGTGGTGATTGATGACACATTTATGGCACTATGGAAAGAACTGAAAGCTCCAAACTAAGCTCCACAAGTTCACTTTGATATTTAAAACGATAAATAAAACATGAAACAAATGTGCGGCAAAAATTCTTCACGCTATGAAATTTATGACACGCAAGATATCAAGGATAATAATAAATAAAGCTTGAGCTTACTCTTTCGTATAGCACACTTATTAGTTCATATCACACAAGTGAAAGATTATCATTATAATAAGTTTGATTAAGTCTATTAAATATGGGGGAAACGCAGGTATCACTGACGATAACAATATATTCTACAATTATACGAAACACTGGTTCTATTTGGTGCTCGTAACACACGTGAGCATCATTTATCCTTGGTTAACAGTTGCTGAACGAGGATGAAATGAGCATTTCGAACTCTAAATGGAACGTATCCGTTGTAGATATAGCATTCTCGACATGTGAAACCGACTACCTTAACGTCTACACCCTTCGAATGTTTTGCCTTCCACTTCCTAGTGCCAGAATGTTCCGCAGACATTTCGCTGTATAGTGCTAGTACCGGCTATATGATTTTATAACGAATACATATATCAGTATCTAAATGTGAGAAATTTACTCAATCGAAAGATAAGGAAATAACACGAGAGTAGGCGCCAATCAAGAGGAACTAAACGTTGTAAACTCGAGACTGTGATTTACCTGTCCTCTGGAACTTTTCCCAATAGGCGGATCGTTCCATCCAGATGATTGCGGCGGCGGCGGCAATGGATACGTATTTTCGCTCCCGTACGTCTGCGTTTGTGGAGTAGGCTGCGATCTGATAGGGTCGTACATTTGGGTCTGTGGCACATTTTGCAACGGCGACATTATGTTCGGCTGAAGCGGATTGTACGGTTCTGGTTCTTTAGGATTATTCATAAAGCTTGGCGGTTGACCGGGGTAGACGTTGCCCGGCATAGGAACCTGAGGCTGATACGAATTCTGCTGAGGGTAGCCGGGGACAGGTGGGACTTGCTGAGAATTGTACAGTGGGTTCGACGGTGGAAAACTTGTCTGACCGTATGACTGGGTGGATTTCACAGACGGGTCTATCAAATATTTTGTTCTCGACTGCGGTCCGACGCTGGATGGTCTCGAGCTACTCAAGTTAGAAGTGGATGTCGGTGGAGGCGGAGGGAGCGGCTGAGCTGGGATCTGATTGTACGGATGAGACGTAGAATATTGATCGTAAATCGTAGATTGCATCTGAGGCTGGGGAGGAGGGGGCATTCCATACAGCTGAGACGGCTGAGCGTTGAACTGATTTGTGGGAGCACCATAGGTTTGTTTTAGCGGAGTTGTGTTCCAAGTCTGCGCCGAAGGCGCCGTTTGCTGCTGCAACGGCTGTTGCAGCGGATTGCACGGACCTTGCGATACCCTTCGCGTCTGTTCGTAGTAATTCTGAGCCGCAGGCTTCGTAACGTGCCTCTGCTCCTGCATATAGCTCAAAGCTTTGCACAAACGATCTCTCAGCATCGAAATTCTTTGGTCCTGAGTGTTCCCAAGATAATTCAAGGCTGCTTCCAGATCGCCTTCCGCCGCCAGCATCTCGGCGTACTGAGACAGCACGTTGGCAATTTTATCCTCTATTTGAACTTCCCTGATGCCTTGGAGTTCCAAAGCTTTCTGCATTATTACGATCAGTTCTACCACTTCTTGAATGTCAGCCTCGGACACCTCGATCAATTTATTCAAATTGCCAGAGCAAATGTAACAAATTTGCGCTTGCTTTTTAAGAAGGGGATTTTCACACAGCACCAAGCGATCACCCAGCATATCTGTTATACACAATTTATATTGTAAACATTACAGTAGCAAATGATTGCAAATTATTTTCGTAACGCTTTATTGTATCCTTACCGCACAAGGCAGATCGTTCTTGCGCATTGGAATGTGTAAATATACCAACCAGTGCTTCCTTCCAGCACTTTATATCACTGTTCTTAACAACTTCTGCCCAATTTTCACTAACTAGTGAATTGATAAGAGAATTTAATGCACTAGAGTGCTCTAAAAAGTATTTGTATTGGGTACGCGCCAGTAGATCAGGACCAGCGGCCATCGAAAGAATTATAGCGTCGGCGTACCTCTTGCTGGCAAAACACAAAGATACAGCGGCCTCGATATTTCCTAAGAGAATGGCTTGAGTAATAAGACCATCCTCATCTAAAAGAGTAATGCAAACGTAAGTTGTTTGTACATTTGTTTCGCCGCATTTATCAATGCTGTATCAATATCTACTGATTACCGTCAGAAGTATTTATGACGTAAGTACTATCTGCAGGCTTGTTTGACGATACTTTTTTACTTTGCTCCTGTGCAACAGCGTCAAACGCAGTACTGCCGACCATAACATTACCATTTAATACCTGTCACATAAAAAGTAGACATATATAAATAAAATTCAAATAAGTTTGGATGGCAAAGATATAATTAAATTATAGCAAAAGTGGACGACGTAAATATCAGTCGAAACCTTACGTTATTAAGATTGGAGACACCCTCTACAATATCATTTATATCATCCTGAGGCACAAACTGATTCAGCTTATTATTCATTGTCTCGGTGTTGTAACCCAACAACTCCAATATACTCTTCGTCACGTTTTGATCAAAGTAAGCGCGTACACATCTCCAGACTTTCTTGGTATGCTCGTCTGGAGACTTATCTACCTTTTCCTTACAGAACTCACTGAATTGCTCAGTCTCCAGTGTTGCTTTCAATTTGTTGGAACGTTGAATAAGACTGGGTTGTACAATTACTTGCGATATAATAACTTTTCTATTCGCTTTCTTATTTGCTAAGTTTGGATCAGCAGGCTGATTCTCGAAGATCACTAATTTGCCACCAAACTAAAAATGATCGTTTTTATTGAGTAATTTATACTTTATTGCAAAAAATATTTTCCGTTTAATGTATACACATAGTGTAATCTAAAGCAAAATTAAAAGCTTACCCCAAATGATGCTCCAAATGGCCTCTTTAACCATTTAGGAGCCTTCGTCAATACTGCCGTTGTTCCTGTTTGTACTGTAGATTGAGTGAAAGGGTCCATTCCTGGGAATGAATCTGCTATTTTGTTGGACGTCTCTTGCCCGCCTAATAAAGAGTAGACAACAGCATGACCGTCGAAACTACTGCCAACAATTAATCCTGGATTCCTCGGGCACCAAGACACATCGAAGTTCCACTGAGCTGTTTGGGCCAACTCGCATATCACCTCACCATTCTGTCATTAAAAAGTGACAATACTTAAAATTCCACTAATTTACACTGTTAGAAGCAGTGTGTGAATATCATTTATCGCATGTGATGTGTGTCCGCCGTTTTAAGACGTCTGTAAGTGTGTGACTTTTTCATGCACAGATGGACGTTTGATTTTATTGGCGCGTGTGACTTTTCACGCTGCTGAAGGTGCATAACTTATTTAGGTGTGTAATTTTCAAGGTACCTGTATATAAATGTGTAAAAAAAAAGATTGCGCTACATTGCAAATTCAATAATACTATTATACACATATGTAATTTGGTGAAAGCAAGTAATTAAGTTATATGATGCGACTTTAAACAGCAAGAATATATAAAAATGCCTTCATCAAATTACACAAATATGTGTATAAAAGTAACATACTTGGACTCCGAGTAAAGCACATAATAAAATGTATAACATTTAACTAACAAGTGTTAGTATTAAAGATTAGTAACATAAATAGCCATTTGTATTTAATATATTTTTATTTCAAGACGATAGTGCATGACGTTTGAAAAATCATGCATTAAATATGTATGACGCATTAATATTCACACACTTTAAGTGTGTGACGTATTAATATTCACACGTGTGTTACAGATCTACTTCTAACAGTGTATTGGAACGCGTATCAGAGGCATTACGTACCAGCGCGTTTGAATTGGGATTCCAGCACAAGATTCTGTTATCCTTAGCGCAACTCAAGAGTAAGTCAGCGTCCTGCGGATTCCACGCGATCGAAAGGACACCACGCTGATGGCCTTGCAGAGTTTTCAACGGCGACGTTGGAACTCTCACGTCCCACAATTCAATGATGGGTGTTTGATCATCTTCAGATGCCAAGCACAACTGCGTTCCAATATCCGGATGCCACTGGGCAACTTTCCAGCGTACCTACGTGTAACCGAGACAAAACGATCAAGATCTTCGTTGATCTTTTCGTGCTCCATCATGGTGTTAAAGTGGAAAAGAACTTTACCCTCGTGTTTGCATCTGTCAGCTTAAATATCGGCTTCTTTTCTTTCACGTTCCATATAACGCAGCATTGTGAAAATGTGGAGGCGAGAATGTCCTTCAAATGTACTGTAAAATGAAGTAAGAGTTGTATCGATTGAACAGATTTGTATAAATTTAAATTCGAAGGAATAGAAAGTAAGGAGCCGCGACGGTGTGTGTCTAAATAATTTTTATTTTAAATCGATTACGAAAAATATTATCCTCCCTCAGCCAGGGTGATATTTATTTCGCAATAAATTAAAAATAAGAATTATTTAGACACTAGCGTGCTGTCACGACTCCTCGGTCTCTATTCCTTCGAATTTGTGTTTGTCACACGAGTCTTATAAATTTAATTGAATTTAGCGTAATCTGCAACATAAGGACCTTGCTTGTTCCAGGCAATATGCTGAACGTCTTCCGACTGTTGGCTCCGAGAAAGGGTGGTCGAAATGTTTGTATTGATATCCCAGATGTAGATCTCGCTCTCTGTCGCACCTGTAGCCAGCTGATTGTCTTCTCGGAAGGGATTAAAGTCCATCGCTCTAACAGGACCGGCATGCCTGTGAGGACTGTTTATCAGGCAATTGCTGTCCCTGGCCAATAACTTTGCGGCAGAATAGATCTTTATGGTCCCGTCCTCGCAGCCGCCGACGATAATGCCCGCTGGATTATTCCCGTAGGGTTCCCAGATGATCTTGTGAAATCTAAACCGACGGATGTCGCTCGGTCAATCAGTCTGGGACGCTAGATTCAACATTACGTAAGCCACTGACCTATGATCGCTGGGTACGCTGGTCTGAAGCTCCATTTCGTATCCTGGCTGCTGCAGATTCAGCGAGTACAGGTCCAGACTGGCGGACGTGCTGAAGCTGGCGTCCAACTGCTGCGCCGCCGTGCCGGCGGCCAGCATGATGGGATGCTGAGCTGGCGGGGACCATGCTACATTGACAGTCTTCAGCAGCTCCTTGACTTTCATCTGTCGGAGAAAAGCCCGCTGTCAACGGTCCGTACATTTCGCGCGGGCGCGTCAACGAGCCACGAAGGAGGCTCGCGCGCGGGTGACGCGGAAGGAGGCCGCGAGCGGGTGGCGATCAGGTCGCGTAAACGCGGTGACGGGAAGACGACGGCGGTATCGAGAAATGCGGTCGACGTGTAACCGCATCCGGGGAGCCGCGTCTCCTTCGAGACGCGGTCGCCACGACCCGGCGTCCCGCTCCAACGGCGCGCTCTCACCTTGGCTCGTGAACGGGGCAGCTTCTCCACGGGCGTAACGGCAGACCGGGGGCTGCTCTCTCTCTCTCTCTGGCGAGATGCGACGACCCGTCAAGTCGAGGCTTCCAACGTGGCGTGCTGCACGCGAGCACCGTCGGCGGTGCCGCCCCCCGTCGGCGCGTCGCGACATCCGCGCGCGCGTCGCGTCGGCTGCTGGAACGCGGCGTCGGACTCGGACCTCGGGAGCGCTCGCCTCCGCCACCGACCGGAGCTGGAGCGATACTTGGCTAGGTAACATTAGGTATTCGTCCCCCGCGACGTCGTCGACGCTGCGTCCTCTTGTCGGTTGTTGGAGCGTTCGTTTCGATTGATCTACCTGTCGTTTGCAGCGCAGCCGCGCGGCTCAGCACGGACGTTCCTTCGCTCGCCTCGACGCTTGACGTTTATGGTATTGCACGAGACATTGCATCACCGGTCTGTCTACACTGCGCCGCGATAAACTGTTGATTGTCTCGCGGGGGTCCAATGTCTACTTTCACTTGAAAGTGAGTTACAAGTTGATCCATTCCATAGCCAATGATGGCTTTACGTTGGACAATATCGGTCGATGCATTTCTAATAAAATCATTGGACCAATATTTAGCCAATGCACTGTGCTACTAGGGTCGTCTTGTAGTTGTTTTCTAATAAAATACAGCCTTTGCGTCGACCCTTTTCTGGATTGAAATTTTTACAATTACACTTACAGGAGAATTACTTAAAAATGTCGCTTATTAGCGACACTTCCAATTTTTGATACGCATTTGTTCACCTTACCCTACAACACTGATACAGTTCAAGCTTAAATTTGCTGTGAAAACTTAAATGTTGATCTAAAAAGACACGGGCAATAACAAACAATCTTTCTTCCAGAGTCCGCTTGAGAAATTCTTGGAATCTTCCTTTTTTGTCGCAATGACCCGACCTGCCGATCACGAGGAATACGCGATAACGGAGGCCGGATCTGCGTGATAACTTGAGGCAGCTTGGTGAAGTAAAATGAAACGGGACTTCCCGAAACTGATCAGTGCGTGAACTGACCCTCTGCCGATACGCGTCGGAGATGTGAACACGCTTGGTGTAATATATAATGGATTAACAAGCAGCGGAATGCTGTGGCCCAGATTAAGACGATCACGACGCCTGTCGATGATCGTTTTCTCGATCGTTATATGCATAGGCACGTTTCTGATCTGGTCTAGGAGCAGGGAGAGAGGCGCCGATCTGCAAAATAACTTGAGGTATAAATTAACAATTTATTTAAATCGAACAAAGCACTGCGATTTTGAATTCAGGATGCTTATAGGTTGTTGTACGATTGTTATAGATCACACGGCAACCAGAAAGATTACATTGATCATCGGGGGATCCATGTAGTAGTCGGCCATTACATAGGGGATTCTGTGGACTCCTTGAAAATTCCAAACATCACGAAAGGTAAGAAATTTAATTATATCAAGAACTGTGGAATTTAAAAGTATAGATATTGCATATATTTTTTTCAATTCGAAGGAATAAAAGGTATAAGAGCCAAGATATTAGTGTCTAAATTATTTTAATTTTTCGCAATAAATGAATTTTAATTATTTAGACTTTTTATATTCTTTATTTCTTTAAATTGTGATTTCGCGTCAGAGCCTTATGTAATTTATTGTTTTATGTATTTGTCTTTCAGATGTTATTAATCAGAATTTGTTCAGTCCACTGCCATTCGAGGGGAAAAATGGAGAACCCGTGGTAATACATCCGAAAGACTTTTACAAGATGCAGCAGTTGTACCAAATTAATCGATTTAATTTAATGGCTAGCGATAAGATACCACTAAATCGATCACTACCCGACGTTAGGAAGAAAAAGTAAGAGCGCTACTGGCTAATTTCTTTGCCAGATAAAGGTTTACCCTCTTGTAAAATGTTCTTTTAAATTTTACAGGTGTATTTCACGGTACGCAAACCTAGGTTACTTACCAAAAACATCGATTATTATAGTATTTCATAATGAAGCTTGGAGTACGCTGTTACGGACGGTACATAGCGTCGTCAATCGGTCTTCGAGAGAATTGTTAGAAGAGATTATTCTCGTCGATGATAATAGTGAAAGAGGTAAGCGAGTGTATGATTAACTGCAAGATAATATCAACTTTATCAGATCTGTAACAAATTCATCTTTCCTCTACATCTTGTTATTTGTTGCTAGAATTCCTGAAAAATCCTTTGGATGATTACGTCAAGACCTTGAACGTTCCTACGAGAGTTTTGCGATCTAATGAACGGGTAGGATTGATACAAGCGAGAATTTTGGGTGCGAACGATGCCAAAGGTGAAGTTCTCACTTTCCTCGACGCTCACTGCGAATGTACGGTTGGTAGGTAAGCTCCATTATTTTATAATAACATCTGAAAGTCCTTCTGTCGTTACGTACAATGATAACGTTGGATGTAATATTTGCAGGATGGTTGGAGCCGTTACTTGAAGTGGTTGGCAAAAATGCAACAAGAATAGTCGCTCCAGTAATCGATATAATCAACGATAATACCTTCGGTTATACAAGGTAAATTATTCATTCTTATATTTGCCGGTGTGATAGTGTCTTGATAGAAAGTGTCAATTTTTTGTAAGTAAAACTTCGTTCTTTGTGTTTTTTTTTCATTCACTTTCTAGTCAGTTTTCTGAAAATTAGTAATTTCGTAGATCGTTTGAGCTTCATTGGGGTGCATTCAACTGGGACTTACACTTTCGCTGGCTAACTTTGAACGGCCGTCTACTGAAGGAAAGGCGCGATAATATTGTTGAACCGTTTCGAACGCCCGCAATGGCAGGTGGGCTCTTCTCGATAAACAGAGATTATTTCTTTAAATTGGGCAGCTACGACGATCAGATGCGAATCTGGGGTGGCGAGAACTTGGAACTGTCGTTCCGAGCTTGGCAGTGCGGAGGCAGCATCGAGATTGCGCCATGTTCCCACGTCGGGCATCTCTTTCGAAAGTCTTCCCCTTATACTTTTCCGGGTGGCGTCGGCGATATCTTATATGGCAACCTTGCCAGAGTCGCTTTGGTATGGATGGATCAATGGGCGGAGTTCTATTTCAAGTTCAATCCTGGTGAGATCATGATGATACATTTTATCATCATTGCGAATTAGTTTCATCCATTCAGTTAGATATTGAATTTCACGGATGAATGGATTCTTATACCCATTTTGAATTTTATTAGAGGCAGCTAGATTAAGGTATAAGCAGCAAGTTCGTTCGAGACTGGCTTTACGCGAAAAGCTGCAGTGTAAAAGTTTCGAATGGTACTTGGAGAATGTGTGGCCGGAGCACTTCTTTCCCATGGATGATCGATTTTTTGGCAGGGTACTTATTGATTTTATTATTGTAATACAATAAGCTGTATGTATAATTTTTAAATACCACTCAATTAATTTGAGATTAGTCGGAGATTATAATTTAATTCGTGTCAGATCGTGCACGCCGCAACAAAGAAATGCATTATGCGACCGACTGCGAAAGGTTCTTACGCACAACCTTCAGGGAACGCGGTTCTACACTCATGCATACCGCGGCCGATGCTCAGTCAGATGTTCGTGATGACTAAAAACGGAGTGATAATGACTGATGAAAGTGTATGTTTAGACGCACCGGAACGAGATACGCAACAAAAGACGCCGAAAGTGAAAATAATGGCATGTAGCGGCCGCGAAAGACAGAAGTGGCAATATGACGAACAAGTACTGTATCTCTATAAAATGTCAGTTACAATAATGCCTCTTTTACAGCCTTTAAAAAGTAACAATAATTATTTCTAGACGAAAGTATTTTTGCACGTGCCTTCCGAGATGTGTCTTCAGGCAACAGCGGACGATGACACGCTTACAATAGCGACATGCACTAAAAATCTCGATCAACAGTGGATTTTAGAACCGGTTCCTTGGAAATAATAATTCTAATGTTATTGACAACGAAGAAAGGAAAAGGCAGTGCCTTGATGAGTATGCTCAGTTTATCGGTAATTACTATACTTGTATATGTTTACTGCTACCAATTTTGTGGCAATTTACATTGTCATTTTCATGAAAAATTTATGCCTTTTTTTACTTTTATACTGACAAAATCAAATAGCATATCTTTACTCTATGACATGGTTTGAATTATTGCAATAAAAGATAATAGATATTATTTATCACTTGTGTTACCTTTTCTCGACGCCCTTCGATTCTATGTGATTTAAATTTCTTGTGAACTTTTTCGTTCTTTTGTATTTGCAACTTAATTTCATTTTATTATCCATTTTGACCTCGTTTTCCTTTCTCTCTTTATTGCAGCCTGTGTTTGTATAAAATTGCATTCAATGTTTAACAACAGATAATTCGCATATTGAAAAAAATATGCACAAAGACACGATACTTTTTTGCATTGTGCGGTCTTTTCATCCTGTAAATGGATCTCGTTTCGCCATCTAATGGATGAGATGACTGTGCTTGATCACGGTTAATAATCTGAACATGAATGGCCGTTTCGAGAATAAGAGTGCGTCGATGCCATAATTATCGTACACGTATACGTGAGCATCGTTTCGCCGTACAACTTCCTATCGACGTTATCCTTCAAAGTAACGTCGCGTAAACGCCAAGTTGGCTAACTAGTTTGGAAGTGTCTTAAATAAATGCCCGTGGATCGCGGGGACACGTTCCTTCGACTGATTTGGCATTGCCTTAAATAGGTAATCCTCCACTGTCGCAATTCCGAAGAAGATGCGTATTGTTAGTGATTCATTGCTAGTTAAGGCCCTGCCGACGAGTCATCTTTATTGTCATCGTCGTCAAGGCTGAATCGAAAATGCTTCAGTTTCATGTCGTTCCATAATCTTGGAACATTAACGACGTCATTTATGAGCTTTTGCAAAATAATTATTCTAGCAATAAGATATATTTCCTTCTAGCGTTATTTAAATATTTAAAAATTAAATGTGTATATTTATACAAATCTTTTTTATATTTAGATTTAAAAAAAATTATCAAGAGCGTGGGAATAATATATTTAAAAAATGTTTTCGCCAAGAAAACTTTATACGTCATGCTTTTATTATGTACGAAAACAAGAAACGTGGACAAAAGGATTAAAAAATATATTTATCTTCTCTTGTTAAACTTCATTGTACTACGTACGAGTTCCACTTTAAATTTCTGTACACATTCAACGTATTCACCTTCTTTATTTTAAACGTCCAGTTTAATTGAAGTACGTTGCGGTACAGAATTCCTAATTAAGAGTAACATCTCAAGGATCTTGGTTTCTTCCAATCCGGATCAGCTACAGTAGGCAAATACGTTTGCCGAAGGTTAACACATAGTGTACAAAGTTTCCTCGGCGAACAACACTTATTTTTTAAGATGTTATTATCTGCATTCTTGATGACTTTTCAAGAATCTGCATTGCACGAACAACACGTGTGCGCATTTTAACAAAAATATTTCATGCATTTATATTATTTCTGTTATGAAATTGTACATTTAAGTGCGATTTTTATGTCAACATTTTTTACACACTGATGTACCGGTATATACAACGACATTAAAAAGTCAATTATAGGAGCGTGTTATTTATCGTCGTTTACACTGCATTACTTTACAGTTATTTCAAAATGTTTGTACATGAATATCATGCAACTGTACGCAATTAATCATAAACGCGGCATTGTCTCACAATTCTGAATGAATTGTCTACCGAAATCTGAACTCTCAAGGTTGGCGAACTGATTGGAAAGGAAGAATGTTCGTTAAATCACGAGGCGCGGTAGGAGATCGATCTCTGTCATATCGTTTTGGTGTGATTTTGATCCAGACGATACGAACGAGTTGCATCCGCGGGCTACTTGGCACAGTTTACCGATATCTGGGTCAAAGTCACGTCCTCGGTGAGGCTGAGAAGGCACTTAGTCCGAAGCGCACTATTCCGCCCGTGCCTTCGGATCTGATCACCTCCAGGCCAAGTTTGGTCGAGATGAGTGAGACTTTATTTATGGACTCGCGCCGTCTTCGAAACGAACAATTCTTTTTCCCGTCGGCGAAGGTAATTGAAACACCACGTACCATGCATCTTGCAATGTGCAAAAGCCCAATTAAATCTATTTTTTAATTAGAGAGAAATGTTCTAAGTATAAAATTATATTTAATTGGAAAAATTATACTATATGCCTGATGTTATTTGACAAACATATCTAATATCTAATATTATTTACTTTTTCTGATGACAAAAATGCTATATATTTAAAAATTTTTTTAATTTTAAATTTATGAAGAATTCTGAAAAAATATCTTAATCTTCTTTAAATTTTATAAGTTTTTTCGAAAATTGTAAAATATTCTAGAATTCACATATACAAAGAATTGTAGAGAGGACGTAGATTTTCTCAGCATTTTCGAAAAGTATTTCAATTTGTATAAAAATGTTTTCAGGGATATTATTTACTCAAGGTCAATTATTTAAATATGAACTTTAGTTCTCTCTCTTATTATAACCAAGCCTGTTATTTTATAGAAGAAATTACACAATTTGTGCTGAATGAAGACTATCTATTAATGCAATTGACTTCAAATATTCTCTATTACAGATTCTTCAGATATTCTTATAATATTCTAATGCTTTTAGTTTAATTTAAATCGTATCCTAAGGCTGGGTTTCACCATCGTCGCTTTAAGCATATTGTTAGCTTAATTCTAACTGTTACTTTACTTTAAAAAGAGACAAATGTGAATTAAACTAACGTTAAAGTTAAACAACGTTTGGTGCAACCGGGCCTAAGTAATATAGCGGTAAAACTATACGAATAATGGATATGGTTTAGGATTGTCAAAGGTGTTTCATAATTTTCGAAATTCATCGTCAGGTCACGTCGTGAACTCGTCCACCGGCAGTGCAAGTGTTCCGGTTCTCACACACCTGTGACCCTGGTCAAGTCGTCGTTTCCCACATTAATTTGCGGTTCTTCTTCTCAATGTGGGGAAAAGAGGACTTAATTTCCTGAAAACGGGGTCTTTTTCGTTGAACCCGCCATTGACCTCCTCGACATGTAGCTGTAAAAAGAGAAAAAAAAGAGATAATTTGAAAAAGCAGTTGGACGCGCGAGAGAAACCGTCGTACCAACTTGCGACGTGTAGCAATTAACAAAAATGTCAAGTGTATATGTCGTTGAAGAAAACTGAAGATATTTACGATAGAAGAATCGTCGAATGCATACTGTCATTTTTTAAAATAGATAAACTCGTATATATCCATTACAAAAATATAGAAAATCAATTATTTATACAATTTATTAACAGTACAGAGTGTACATTATGTGGGAACAATTACAACAAACCAGTTTCGTTACACGTGAGTTGTTCCTTTCGTTGATAATCGAGTTATCTTGTTTTTCTATTTTTCGAAAGCGCCGCAGAAAGGATCTGGTGGAGTAAATCCAAACACAAAGAAGTCTTCCTGGTATATATATATATAGAATTATTATATATTGAATTATTATATATATTTTTTTTGCATCAAATATTACATATTGACATATATACAGTCATCGTGCCGCACACACAAAGGCGTGACTACGTAAGCTATAAATGTCATATGGAAAATAGGAGTGACGGACAATTATAGGATTGTTCACGGACGTCATCTTTACTCGATCATCCCGTTCGATGAGCCAACCGCGTCCTGACACCATGGAAAGGATTCAACACTTCAATGGATCACTCCGAAAAGCAGTTTCAAGTACAGTGCGGTCTAGAATTACGCAGACAATTTGCCTTGGAGATCTTGATATTGCAATTAAATAAATATAAATTGTAAAATATAAATAATTTCCAATATATACATGTAAAAGCATTACTTGAACTTTTAAGAGCATTGATTACAATAGTCGAAATGTGCTTATTTCTTATGTAAAATAAAAATATTTCAGGTTTAGAGCGAATTTTCGTTTTTACATAAGAAAGAGAATTTTTAGCTGCGAGAACGACCCATTGAAACGTATCTCGGCGAAGGCGTCGTTCATCTTTCACGCAACACGCAAACAGTTTGCTAAAAGAAACCCGTGTCTTCTTCGCATCGATAAAGCAATGCTACGATCGCTCATCCCGATTGAAGCGCTTCGCGCCTTTCCCATGCTTTTCAATTTGACTATAATAGAGAATCTGTGGGATTGAACTGAGCTTGAAAACTTGTGTGTATGTGCGCGTGTTCGAGTACGCGTACGTGTACAATGTGTGTGTCCTTAAATACTACTTGTTCTAAAGGTAACGAGCGCTTTACAGCTTTCCTCGGCACACGGCGCCGTTTCCGTGGCTAAAATAGTAAAAGTACGTATAACACGGTAACCTCGGTCAAATCACAATCGTGGTGGTACAATTTATATTTATATTTGTATGTATATATTATCTATATTCACATATATATATCTGTCTGTATATATATATATATATTTGTGTCTGTATACCTCATATAAAAATTAGAGATAGTTCTTTACATTTCTCTTAATACATTATCGCGCGCGGTTGACTATGTGTAATTACAGGATGGTGGTACGAACACTCGTGCGAATCGGATCAACAATTCCATTAGAACTCAACGTAGCGACGATCGAGATCGCGGTAGGGCCCAAAGCTGGCTACGCAGGCCGGACTTAAATCGTAACTAAAATAAGGATCTAAGTCGGACTTAAGCTAATCGAAGTAAGATGTTACGTCGTCGTGATGGCATACGCTGCGAGACTGACTTTGGGCCACGTGTCGCGCAATTTCCTCTCCCTCTCTCCCTTTCACAATTTTTTTATTTAAACGTTATCCGCTTAAGGATAGCGTTCACCATCGAGATAACGCGTCGTCGGAGCGGGTGGATTTTTCATGAAATTGCATAACGTAAGCGTAACGTCGGCGAACGTGGCGCAAAGATCTAATCCTGTGTAAAAGGATCTCGGAGATACCCGAAAGTCCGCTCGATCGCTCACATGGCTCAATCTCGCAGCGTTAGGGCCTGAGCAGAATGGCTGTCTTATACTCTTAAGACCGCCTTAAGACAACGTTTTATGTTTTAAGCCTTTGTCTTGAGGTAACGCACAATAACTGTCTTATGTCTTAAGAGTACAAGACAGCCATTCTGCTCAGGCCCTTACTCTTACGGCTTTGTCTAACTAAGATTGAGCCTCGAATACGAATTCTAACAGCTAGGTATGCGTACACCGCTCGTACGTGGAAAAACGCTTGCACAGGCACAGTGCCGTGCGCGCTACATATCCTTATCGTTAATGTCGTTGTTACGATACGCACTTATACGTGTAGTCGTGGGTATTTATGATTCGCGACTGAAAGGTAACATAAGGCTCGCGTGCTGAGGAGCAACGCAGCTCGCGCACGCTTCAGCAAACGTTACAGTTTCCTAACGGCGAGCAAGTGCTCTCCTCCGCTATTCTCTTTCTCTCTCTCTCTCTCTCTCTCTCTCTCTCTCTCTCTCTCTCTCTCTCTCTCTCTCTCTCTCTCTCTCTCTCTTTCTCCTTTATCTCTGCTTGCCGGCTGTCGCAATTCGGCGGAGATCGGATGGCCGGGAGTGTCGCAAGTGGACGCGAGTGACCGGTGAAATCACGCACGCGAACTGGAACGAGAAGCCCCGAGATGAGATCGAGAAGTGCGAGGCGTGTCTCTCGCCCCGCGAAAACCTGACGCAATTTAGCATACGCGGCGACGATGACGACGCGGGAGATGAAGGCGCGAGGGAATTGCTCGTCGAGTCTCCCGGACCCCGTTTAGAAAAACCCCCTGAGCAATCTTCGCGCAACCGCATCGTCTTCGACGACACGTTCGAACCCTTCGTCCGAAGCTTTCTGGGCTCTTGACATTAGAATACGACTTGCTCCGAGATGCTAGGATACGTTTAAAAGTGCACGAAGAGATGCTTCTTTTAAAATTTGCCCTGAAAATCGTGTAATCCTGGGACAACATGGCATTTTGAAGAACTTTACGAGAGTTTTTTTGAAATTTTACCGCACATTCTAAATGCCATGTTGTCCTACGGTTACATTTTTGGAAATTTTACCTTACATTGTACCATACATGCGGATAAAGTTCGTTTATATTTTATGAGTTTTTTATATACTA